TTGCTAAGGACAATGCCTTTGTGTAGAATAACCAACACCGAACATGCTTGAAAAAATTATTTTCTTACTCGCTAAGTCAAACACATATATATGTACTGCTGACAGAGTGCTTCATGGTTAGAAGTCCTTTGGGGTTCGTTCGTCACGCATTCATTTCTCCCCCATGGACGTCTGCTAAACACAGCTGACATTTACATTCTTGTTTGTTTGAATAAGCCAATAAGCGGTTAGTTATTGTGTCACGATCAGCCAATAATGAGCTGTGATACAAGTGAAATGCCAACTACGAATTATTTCTCCTTTTTTAGAAGAATATTAATTTTATTCCATGCCCATGCATGGATGAGCCTCCGAAGAAAGTTATAGGAAGCAAGTTTTTTTATTTTCTTTGCAGCTGTAATTTAAGAAAGGACCAAGTTCATCTGTTTAGAAAAAGCGCAGTTGACAAAGGCTCATCAAACGTGCTCTGGACGTTGATGTGTCTTTGTATTCCTCAAGTGAATTATTTATTTGCACGGCCATCTTCTACCTGAGACGACTCAAACATTTTGAAAAAATCACAGAAATGATGCAAGGAAGCTGTAGCCAGCTGTATAGTTTTTTTGGAAGTTGTTGTAAGTATAGAATAATCTCCTTTCCTTTGAAAGACTTCAGCCAACAGTCTCTCACACGAGTGCTGAGCCGTTTTCAGTGCCGTCGAAAACAATTACTATTAACTCTGTATATGTCCGAAGTATTAAGAAAAGAGAACTTGTAAAGATGTATGGGGAAGATTTTCAAAGCATTCTTCGAAAATAAAGGTTTGTCTTCCCGTTGCGTTTTATTTATTCACAAGCTAAGTAAACATGACCACGGTGACACCGAAGTCGAAACTTCCAGCTAGAATGACAAATTAACCTACCTGTCAACAAAATTTAATCTCACTCCTTCAAAGAAAGAAAGACTGCTTATAATCAATAAATCATTAAACCTTTCATTGTTCACCGTATTTTATTCCTCAATGAAATATTTAATCATGCTCAGAAAAGTCGCGGACTGTGCACCACATACTAACTGTACAAGTCACTCGCTAACATTTCATCCACTGATGGATCTTCAACCAAGCTTCTGGGCTTGCGTAAACAACAGAGAAAGCCCCTCTCTCAACAACCCTCATATTCTCTTCACTAATATCACTGAGCATTACAGCAGGACTACCAATACTTTCCAGTTTCTTAGCTTGATCTTTCATAACATTTACCGAGGGCGAAACAACAACAACAATAATGTCCAGAAGTTCCATGCACTGTCGCCAACAAGTAGCGAAGCTTGATAGATAAGGGATTTGCCAAATCCTGTCGGCAAATTTATGAACTCCTCAGTCTTCTCGCACACCCGATCAAAATGGTCACTGATCGTCCAAATCTTAAAAAGCGGCTCGGGTTATGTTTTACAAAAATCCGTAAACGGCCTGTGATTGGTGAATGAAATGTCGGCTGTGTTTCGCAGACGTCCGTGGGGGAGAAATGATTGCGTGACGAACGAACCCCAAAGGACGTCTGCGGGAAGGCTAGTTCACAGTGACATTGTTTTCATTGTTCCTTAGGATGATTGTGACTAATGCTCCAAAAGTGTCATTTTCTAAATCCCTGAGATCAATCTCAATTACCTGCTGGTTAGTTCATCAACAGTTTATTCAAACAAGCTCCAAACCTTTCCAGAAGCAACCCAAAGGACGTCTGCGGGAAGGCTAGTTCACAGTGACATTGTTTTCATTGTTCCTTAGGATGATTGTGACTAATGCTCCAAAAGTGTCATTTTCTAAATCCCTGAGATCAATCTCAATCACCTGCTGGTTAGTTCATCAACAGTTTATTCAAACAAGCTCCAAACCTTTCCAGAAGCAACCACCATAGCATGCAAAATTGGAGTGTTTTGCACGGTTTAGCAATAGCAGAATTCCTCTATTACCTTAAAAAAAAAAACCTCATATACCAGGTGTTTACTCAAAATTGTGTATAATGTCTGTATTTGATTTCTCTTCCCTCACATAGGTAACGTTACAGCTAACCAAATACAGTAAAATATACATGTTGATGTCAGCTGTAAACTGAATTTAAGAGGACCTCTTTTTTCCAAAATCCCTATTGACATTGTCATACAAAGAATACCAATGAGTATTGCTTTAGTTGGTTGATGAAAGTTCCCCCTCCGTGTGAGGTTAAAAGTACACTGACTAGAAATGTATTGTGCAATTTACATGCACATACCTCTTGCATTTAAGGAGCTGTTTTACACTGTCCTGTTTTACTGTAGTTAAGTTGGTTTGGCAACAAATCTCTTACTGTTTTTGTTATATGCACACGTTACCCAAAAACATCAGTTTCTTACTCCCTATGATCAATCTCAAATTCACTGCTACTCGCCTTCATCCACCTTTTATTCCAATGACAGACAAAATATTCCAAAAGCAACTACTAAAACACACAACAAGAAGCCCATTGTTTCATTTCCTTTTTCT